ATACTAGATTTCATAAATTTTGCTAATATTGAATAACGAATTCCCCTAATTGTTTTTATCAACCATATGGATATTTTATGTTCTCGTACAGCAAATTGATTGCTCTTTTAAAATATCATAAAAAATATAAGCATTGCATTTGAGAAACAAAAGTTGCATCGATTTCCGGTTCAAGACATATTAAAATGACCCTCTTATCTCGAACCTCGTCTCGAACGTACTGTATAAGTATACGTTATGGGTTCTACTGGCCATAATATACTGTACATTACCATTTTAGTATTAACTCCATTTTTTCAAGTACTTTTCCTAAGTATTATTATATATATTTATTTTTATTATAATATATTATTGATGTAGTACTTAAGGGATATACTCGGTCCGGCAATATATTTTTCCTTGCCGCGCTCTAGCGGTGAAATGGTTAGCCTTACAAAAAAGTGATATATATGAAAAATACAGGGAAATTTGGTCTACTTTAATTTTGTATAGAATGGGTCGAAAAAACGCTTCCATTTCTGAGATAGAAAATGTTTGTTTTTGTTAATTTTTAATTTTCCTCATCGAGAGTTACCTAAGTGATGTTTTCGAGGATGTTTTATCCAGAATTTCATTTTTTTTTCAAAAGATGTAAAAAATATGCACGCCATTTAGTAAGATGCTTGTATAAAATTGTTTAGAGCGAGACCTATTTTGCAGCTCTCTTGTATGATTTAAAGAAAAACCTTCAAGATTTAATATAAATCAATCACCCTAAACGAAATACGCGAGGAAATATACGTATTAATTTTGTGGATGACGAATCCCGGATGCGTGAAGTTAGTCCGGTAATGTAAGCACTAATGCAATATTACGTCCCAGTCGTTAGTGGTTGATTGTGCACGAAAAAGTAACACAGCACGTCCATACCTGTTTGAGTTATAGGGTAAGGAAACTAGAAGAGGTACGTTTTAAATTTTAGGGAATTTGCATGTTTTACTAAAAAGGTAAAAGAATTAAAATTCATTGCAAGTGCAATGCAGATTTTGCCCTAGCTGTTGTTTTCACTATTTCCAAAAACAAGAAGAACAGATTTTGAGATTTTTATAGCAATCAATCTTTTTATAATTAGTGCTCTTTAATTTGGACTAAGTTCTAATACAGAATACAAAACCATTTATCGCTTATAGTCAATTGCAATGAGCATATTAGATTAGATTAGGTCAGATGCATACGATATTCACTTCAAAACTCATTACATTGCCAAGTCATCAACAAATAAAATTTTTAAGACCTATCATTTTAAACCATAAAGTCCGATTCCACCCACCCTTTTGCTCATAAATTAGCTGAGTTCAATGCTTTACTTAGAAGATTAATTAAAATACCTTTAAGTGATAATTTTTTAAATCAGGAACTTAATATCATTAGACAACTAGCGATAAATAACTGTTATCCCCTTCAAAACATTGAGAAACTTTATAATAAGATCACTAGATCTTGTTCCACCACCTTAATCCCTCAAGATATCGCCACGGACAAATTGTTTAGATCTATCCCATTCTACCCCCACATTTCCTGTGATAAGAAATTGAAATATCTTCTCTAAATATAACTTTCAAATCTGGACTGGACCGTTCTGGGGTTTATAAACTAAATTGCCACTCTTGTCAATCCTTCTACATCGGCCAGACGGGTCGCTCCTTTTCCACCCGATTTAGAGACCATTTCCTTGCCATCAAGAATAACAACATAAAAAGCAATAAATCTTCGTTTGCCGGAACACATCCTTTCTACGGGTCACGATTTTCACACAAAAACGACCCTGGGCTGGTCAACGATATTACCGACTTCCCTGTAGATCTGGTTATTTAATTTTGTTAACTTTAGGTTGGTATCTATATTGGCTACTCTGCGTTGGTTTCGCCAATTTCCTCGTAACTTTCTTTCAGTTAACCTCTAATTTTGTTCAAATGTCGGCTTTGCTTTTTGTTACTTAATTCTAAGTCATCGGACGTTTAATGCGGTCGCCCCTGGGTCGCCCAGTTAAAGACCCCGCTATGTAATTCTGGCTAATTTTGTCCTTCAGACATGTAAATTGTTATTTTTTTTAAATTTTATTCCCCTAGGAAAGCTCTCTTAATTACTACATAGGCTTTAGTTCTCACAACCTTTTTTTAGCATGTATTGATTATTATATCCTCTTTCGTTTAACACTTGAAAATGGAACGAGGTTCGTTCCGAAACATGTCGTGAAAACAACTTCTGTAAATTTTACTTCATTATATTTTATGGGGATATCTTGGATTTTCACTTTATCCCGATTCGTCTTGGTATAACAAAAACCAAATTAATATTTCTCATCGTGCTTGATTGGCAGCAATTTTATGCCATAACATTACCAGTAAATTACGAAACCCACGCCATTACCAACAACAGCACCAAGAGCAAAACAATCATGCCTACTACCAAAAAGCAGCAATAATCAACTGCAAAACGACCAGAATTAAGGCGGTGGGAACAAAAATTTGGAACTACACACGTCTGTTTGAATTATACGATTGGGAACATTACGAAATTTGGCTTTTATCTGCTACTGTACAATATTAGTGATAGAGCTTTCATCCAATATTTGCGATATACCTACTTGCATTTAAATTTTTCACGTTAATAAATTTTGCGTGGACAACGAAGTACTAAAAGGTAACTTTTTCTTATTGCTTCCAAAATAATGCAAATAGGTACCCCATGCCTCAAACAAGGTCCTTCTGTGCTCTTTTTTTGCACAATCAGGGGCCAACGAAGCAGAAGCGGGGACGCAATATTCCCTTAGTGAGTCAAAAAGATGTTGGTATTTGGCACGGAATATGAATACCCTGTATCGTCAAAACGGGTAAATGTGCGCTGCATTTTTTTCATGTACAATTACACGAAGCAATAGCGTTTGGCACAAAACATTTCGGTACTGCTTCTATTACCGTGTTAACTAATTCACGCACCTACGAATTCCATAGGTGTATTCCATATCTCCTAAAAACATCTGCTACAAAATTCTATGATACCATGAATAACGACCATCCAGAAGATGAAATTTGGAAGCGGAATTCATGTAATTGCTAAGTCAACGTCCACCCTTATTCCTTCTAATAGGTAACTTTCATGAAGTATCGCATTTGATCATGATCAAATAGAAATGACGTATTCCTATTCCTAATGACATAATTACTAAGTAAGCATCGCCATTAGATCTAATTGAGGCAAGTTTAACCGGATTCTATATGCATTAGATTTAATAATTAAAAACTTTCTTCTAATTGAAATAACTACAGATAGGTGAAATTAAATATTCGCAATACATTTCGATTTCGTAGGATTCTGATAGCATCTGAATTCCTTCCATCCCACCCTGTCTGTGTAAGAAGTTGGCGTGGAAAATCCCAAGTGCATTTCTCCAATATTGGAAATTTTAACATTCTACGCGAAAACGCTTCTGGACTAAGGGCAGTGGGAAGACCGCATTTTTATTTACTTACATGGTAATGTGATGTTCTTCAATTTTCAGTCATCGTCTGAACGCGTGCAGTATGTTATTAGTTTCCATTTACATTGTGATACTTATGTGTATTACCTACATATTTTTCCTTGTACCTTGCATACATAAATAAACGTGAAGGTTAGGTAATTGCCGTGTAATCATATAATAAATTTATTTTAGCGTAAAATCTTCGCGGTATAAACTAACTTGATAAACTAGATCAATGTTGTAAAGAGATTAATGGTCAATATTTTAATGGACGTACTTTACGTTTCATACTTGGAATAATTATGTTCAGACAGTTAGTAGTAAAACGAACAAAACTAAAAATTAAGAGTTTTTTCGGGATAGTGAATTCATTCATGGTGCGTAAATATGAAATAGAGGTCACACATTTCACACCTCACCTTTATGCTAATTTCCATACTCCAACTTGGACAGCCACTACAAATTTATATTTAGATACCAATGCTGATGTTAAAGGGCAAGTCAATTACAACGATATTATTTGCATCATTTAATTAATTAAGCAATGGTTTCTTCCAAAAAAACAATATAGGTATTCAGCATACCATGTGTCCAAGATGAAAGTATAGGGATCTCGAAAACGGAATGAAGGGTTTAATAAAATGGTGTTTAGACAATTAGAAAATTATGCTTACTTCCCGAGATATTCGAAAAAATACGAAATATCGTAATTTCGTTATTTATATTTTAAGGTTACTCCAAGAGAAGCAAAGAAACTACAAGAACAAGTTCGCAAAATTACGATACAATACGGATTTCTAACTTTTATGGTAACCAATCTCCTCGTACTGTTCATTTTTATCTTGGACATCAGGAAGTAACAGATCAAAAAAACTTTAATGATAGAAAGGACCAAAATAAAACGTAAACCAACGGTTCACGTTTAAGAGGTATGTAACTATAAAAAAATATATATACGAAATTTGCGTTCTCCCTTCAATTTTTTCTCTGAAAGTATTGGCTTCGCCCCTACAAAAAATGGACATGGAAGTAAAGACTCCAAACTTACTTTTGATAATTTAAAAAATCAACTGGTAAGGTGTGAGAATATAAATTCTACAATAAAGGTATTCCTTGGGAACACCTTCGATCAATCACCTCTTCACTCTCTAAAGCGATTTGTTTTTATCAACATTCAGGTGATTTGTTTCAAAATGAAAGCATTGAATACACAATATAATTTCTTTGTAAAATTAGAAATGAAATTAGGCATAGCTAAAAAAGAAAGGTTTCAACATTGCCGCTGAAAATAAAATATTTACTTTAAATTAAGTCATTAACGCTCCAGTTTCTCATCTAATGTCTAAGTCTAGACAATCTTGTACCTAAAAGCTTTTTATATCCACTTGGATACGGCATAATAAAGATAATCCTTTCCATTACAATTCGGGTCTCTATGTAAACAAGAAAACGATGCTGACTGAGGTTAGGACAATCATAGTGTATTAGATAATCTCACCTGCGATTTCTTGTGCTGATTCATTGATGACTTATGTGTGGTAGCAGCAGAAGCGGCGAAGGCACCGGCGGCCTTACGCGACACACATTGGCCCATGAGACTTTTCCCACTGATGAAAGGTTAACAATCCTGTTAATTAAAGTGCATTAGAATTCAGTTTTAATAAAAAAAGTTAATTTATAGTTTTAGTTCCCATTTCCACAAAGCGTATAATTATAAACTACGTGTAGCAATATGACGCATGCAATATTTTCAGACCTTCTCTCGTAAAAGATCCGTCTCTCCCAAGCATTAAAAGCATTAACTGTAATTTTCAATTAGCGCAACCCGCTATTACATAAACAAGTTTTTGTCTAAATACAGCGTTATTCTATAGAATTAAGAGAACAATCTCGTGATTTTGCCAGTTTATTGTTAAACTCGGTAAAGGAATAAAAATAAAAGATGTTTAACCACAATATTTACATTATTACACATAATTTGTATTTCATCTACTTGGCGAGATAAACCGATCAAATGTTATAAGAGGCTTAGTCCAAACAAAGACCACTTAAACATTTCTTCCTCCTCACTATTAAAACCAATATGATCATAGATCTCCCATTGGAGCTTACCTTACCCATAGGACGAAAAGTGCCAGCAAAACACTCACTAATAAGTATAGTAAACGAAACTGCACACTTGAGGTAATAAAGGGAATTTAAAATTACATTTTTGTTACCAACGATCATGTTTGGACACAAGTATACTAATGAGCTATTTAATAGGAAACGGCGATGTAGATTATGAATATAAGATTAGGTACTTATCAAAATGTCACAGTAACTTAGTAGTGACCGGAATGAGTTTATCGGACTTTCAGAATCGAAGAATGAATTATGTGACACATATTAAACCCACCAGGTATGTTTAATTGATGGAAAATAATTAATAATTTATGTACTAGTGTTTTGCAGGCCGAAAATCTGAGCGAATAGTATGGTACAAATTTCGTATCACAATGAACTCCATCCAAAGGTAAGAGTGATATTGGGATAAATCAGACAATCAGAGATGATAAAAACTCAAGTGTATGATTACTTCAAAAGACGCCGCAGGATCAGCGAAGGCATTGAAATTTAGCCGAAATTAAATTGTAGTGCCCCAAGTTCCCCAGTTACCCACTACATTAAAAGATCTACCTATTATCGATATCGACATACGAATTCCAATTTATTTGACAGTATATTGCAACCATGTGCAAACGCACACCATGGTGCGTGGGACAGCACGGATACGAGCTCGTAGGGCCGACGACCTTCTGGAGTACTTGCAAACAACGTTGAATGTTTTAAATCAGGGAGCAGACCCTACCTTCGTCACAGTGCGGAGGTTATCCATTTGACGTTGAGCTCCTTTTTAATAGCTCATATTATCACGAGTTGGAGGGTGTCTGATGAGCCGCTCTAAACTGCAGACCTTTCGGGGAACGAAGAGAACTCCTTGAACCTTGAAAAAGTTCAAAAAGAGCTTCACAGGATCTTTAATATAGGGCCATTCGAACTAAGCTGCCTGCGGACTGGGAAGATCTCAAGATCGCTCAGCGCACGTATAAGGATCATAAGGTCGGGTGTTCGAATCTGGCCTGAAGTAAGAATTTTTCATCTGTGACAGTGATGGGAATTTCCTTACATCAGTTTCGAGTATTCTGCAGGGCCGGTTACTCTGATTAGGTTTTCCAGCAGTTTTCCTAATTTGTAAGGTAAATACTGAAGTAGTATTAGGACCTTCTGCAAGGGCTCCTCTAAAAAGCATTATGCGAGTCACTCTGTAATTGGGTGCAAGCCTGTTGACGGCCCAGAACAAGAGAGGGATAATAAATAAATAAATCAAAGAGGTCTTTCTTTGATAACACCTCGATAACACATAGGGTCTTCCTGAATTTCAGAAACTTCTGAATATCCTTTTAGAAGACCCGGAACAAAAAGTGGGCACAGTGAGGCTTCCATGCGACAGATACACGTCTACCGCGGGTGAGGCTCTCACATGTCTTCTGGAAGCGCACTTTCCAGGCTCTGGGGAATACGTAACTTCAGACCCACCAAAGGGTCTCTGCAGAAGGACCTGGAATAGCTGCTCTTACATTTGTTGCACCTCTCTAGTTTTAGGGTATTCACCGAAAACTGGAGAAAGGTAAGAGTTGTGTAGCTACCTAAGCCGGGTCGTGCCAAATATTATATGGCGAAGGATTACAGGTCAGGCTATCATCGTTTCTTTTAAAATCATTGGAGAAACTGGTGCCTACATCAGGAATGGGATACTGATCCTTGGACCATTATATGTCCATTCCAACATGCTTAAAGGACTGGTATGTCCACGTAGACGGCTCTTCGCTGTCTCGTATACAGGCAGGAAAATAATGTCTGCCGAAGGAAAGCGAAGGGGGGGGGGGGAGTCCTAGGTCTTGGTTTAAAAACGTCACTTTTGATTCCATTAGTCAGGCTGCTGAAAGTTTTGGGATTAATGGGTCAAACGTAAGACAGACCCGCGCCATGTTCAGAAGTAGGGTCATTATATCCTCAATCGGGACGACGACCTAGTGCTAGACGGACTCCTCTGCACTCTGTAGCAACGAGAACGTAGCGTTTGTACAGGGATACGCTGACGATAGTTATCACTTGAATGTTTCCAAATATCGTTCATGCGGGGGGAACAGTTGGATAGTGATGCAGTAGCCATGGTTTCTCAGATAACTTTACACTTGATGCTTTTTTTTCGGTAATGTATACAAGCTTACTCGAAATAATAATTAAATTTTACTTTTTGATCTAGGTTTAGCAATGAATAGGACCTTTTTTCATATAGCATATATACTTTTAATATGACCACATTTATTTGGTGTAAAATGATAAATATTCTTTTAATTTTCTGATATGTTTGGATAGTACTTAATTTTTATTCTTTTTTTGATCAACCTCGTATAAATTAACTTTATTCAACTGGAAACATTTGCGTAGTATTTGTAAAAATGTTATGTTCGGTCGTTGCGATAAGAAGTTCCGTTATCGCTGCGTGGGCTAATTAATTTGAAGGTGAGCACGTATTATCGCCAAAGTAGACAGATGACAGTGAATTTTTTCGACGACGCAATAACTTGATAAGAAAGAGGAAATGGTTCGGAAAGGTGAAAAGGGATGGAAGTTTTTCCGTTATCGAATCTTTCCGAAAAGATAGTTTGTCTTGTTTAATTGTGGAGTTTTGTGGAGGGGGGTTCCTGAAAATACTCGCACATTATTTCCGCTTCATCCTAGACATTACGATAAAGTAATACCTATTCAGCTGCAGCTCAGAGTAAATTTAAACCCAGCATTCACTTATCGTGCATTTTGATAATTGATAAAAGGGTTCATTCTCAGAGTCAAATTTCTAATAAAAAATATACAAGTTTCGTCAGCTCAGCTCAGCATACCTTCATGTCCATTTGAAAAGAAACCGCGGAAAAAGCTACATTATTAACAAATTTTTGAGAAAAAAATGCGTTGAAATGTACAATGCAAGATGTAATTGATCAACGTTTTCCCTGGACGACCCCAGTGAGTTTCCGTATTCCCTAATGAATATACAACACCCACCATTTAGCGTTAACATACAGATTTATGACAGATGGTAATGCTAATAATTATAATACTCTTAGTGGCTGTGAATATTATACTAAAGGATACCAGTCTTCGTGGAGGCCTATCTGTAAAATATAAGTGTACCTACCCTAACTGTCACAGTGAATAACTCTTTGGGTACCAACTCAGCGCCACGTCCAAAAATGCAAGGCAAATTTTATTTCATTCATAAGAGGTTTCGGTCAAATTGATCAACAAAATGCCCTTCCAACGATCCGTCTTCAATTTTTAAAAAATCTTGGGACACCCATTATTGAGACCTGGGGCCTATTTCATAAAGTAACTTTGCACTTATCACGCACATTGCGCATTTACATAATGTTGAAGTGTTTCATAAAATATTTTAGTCAACGCATAGGCATTTCGTGTATTATTCATCCCTACTTTACATATTTTGAATGTTATCACGTGTCAAAATAGTCTTTATGGGCCCAGATTTATCTCAACATACCTTGTTTATATATTGTGCAGATACTACAATATTAATTTGGCCCTAAACACCTATAAAAATACTTTCACTACAACAAGAGATGCATATTTCCTACACTTTTATTGATTTAATTTGGGTGTGGCATACCTAGAATGGAGTAAACTCTCACGACACTATTACATTAACATGCACTTTCTAATTAAAATTCCTCTTAGAGTTAGGGGACATTCAACTACGTTCGAATTTTTCGTTTACACCCTTCATTTTACTCGTTAATATAACTTACAATACAATTACATCACTAATTTCGAACATTTATTCTGAATAGTTAAGAATTTTTTTCTTAGGCATCATGATAATTTTAATGGAAATTAATTACAATAAATAATAACAATTTTTTTTAACAACGGATTCGAGTGTCATTTTACAGGGTGAAAATTTTGTTTGGAATACTGGATAAAAAAACATTATAATAATAAAATGGGTGATCTCGCTAGCCATATTAAAAGAAATGACGTCCATAAAGGGACACGGAAGATACCGGGAAGAAACGAAACAAGGAAAAAGGAAAGAGTAGGATATACATACATTCATAAATTAGTACCTCCTTTGAGTAAAATAAATCAAAACACAGCCAGTCAAACGTTCAGATCTAAACAATAAAGACGACAGGAAGACAATCGCTAAACTGTGTCATAACGTGTTGCACGTAAATTGCATTTGAAGCACCAGAAATGCTCTCGTTCCCATCATAATAAGATTGTGCACTCAGTAAAAAATTATATTAAAATTGAGGCTTTGAGTTATGTGCTATAAATCAATTTAATAAAAATTAAGTTTCTATATTCATTTGTAGCAAATCTCAACTCAGGGATTTCATTGGAGGACAAAAGAACTAGTGTAATTGGTTGTTTTAAAAGAAAACAAACATTGTAAAAACATGTCACCTTGAATAGTGAATGAAAAGCACTTCTACCAATTACTTCTACAACCGTCCCACTGCAAAACTGTATAACTACCCCACTTAATTTTTAAAAATAAAC